CACCTGGGTAACAGATAGCTCTGAGCAGAGATGGCTCTGGAGGTTTCAAGACTTAGAGAAAGAAGCTGGTAAAATAGGTTTGGGATTTCATCATGGTCTAAGTTAGGTTTAGCATGATTTATTAGCACGCCTTCTACACAGCTGGGAAACAAGCAGAATGAAAAATAAAGGTAATGAAAGAAGTTATTCTAAAATCAAGAGATGGCAGTTCTTGCAAGATGGGTGCCAAAGGCTTACTTGAATATCTGGTGGGGAAAAAATAATCTAAAGAACTGTTGGCTTGAACCTCAGGTTGTTTGGCCTCCTGGGAAATCTAGAAGTTGGATAAGCCAGTAGGAGATTATTGTAAGAGAATGGAAGATGAGAAAGAAGAAATAAAACTGGGAAAGTTGTAATTTTCTTATCTGGTTTGAGTAAAGCCAGACACAAATTAGATTTTATGTCAGTGCTAGAGCTATAAAGTAGTATATAAACCAACTAGCTTTTAGCATGCTCTCATACAAAACTGCTTTTAACATTAGACAGCGATCAATTTATTTATGATCAGCGTTGAATGCAAGTAAGCATACACAACTATATTTAAGATATGTTTACCCTTATCTCCTTTGTCCCTCACATACTCTATACCTCTTCCTTGCTTTGTTATTTCTTTCTCTAGCAATATCTCAAAGTGCCAATTTATATTAATCAGATTAGGTGAAAGAAAAATTAAATCACAAGGAAAGAGCTGGTAATGCTTAACATTTTTAGATATGAAAAAAACCTGAGGACTACAAGTACTGTCCAAGTAGTTTCTGCATTTAAACTGCCTATAATAAAACAGGTATTCTAGTCTTTTTCTTTTTTTTTCCCCTTCATATAGACTCCAAGGTAGAGATTGGAGAAAAATAATTTAATTTTTTAGCTAAGATGGTTGAAATTTATGCTATTAAATAGAAATATTCACACTTAAATTAAATTCATAATAAGTTAAAAAATTATCACATCCTAAAACCTTCCCTTAATCCACTGTAAACTCTTCTAAATTTAACTCGACAGATCTCCTTTAAGAAATCTTTCTTTTATACCAGAGCCAAAAACAATAAGAACAAAGTGGATTATAAAGCAGGGATTTCATTCATATATAAATGTGTACATTCACTGGCTTTGTGGTCACCCTGACTATTAACTAAACCCTTGAAGTGCATTGTGCAGCTGCCTGGGAGCAGCAGCACATCTCTGCTATAAGCAATGACTTCTGGAGATGTTTTTAGGCGTTGCTATATAAAGCTTTGAACATTTCGGCACAGTCATTATACAAGTGAGTCAGCTGAGACTGAATCACCCTGACACATGCAATTGAACTGAATGGACTTATCTTTTGATTTTGGGATGCTCTTGTAATATTACTTTTGTACCTATTTGGAGGCTGGTAGTGAGATTTCAATCTTCAATAATAAGTCAAAATTACCAAGTTTTATAACCTCTCTGACTTTTTTTCCTTGACAGGAAAAGGATTTAAATTTAAAAAATCACAGAGGGGGTGTGTGTGGGTGACATAATGCCAGCCTGTTGGAGGGTTTTATATACATTTGTCTGCAGAAGCTTTTCTCCTCTATGAATCCAGAAACACAGCTGTTCTGACTTGAGGTGGCTTCTCCTAGACTGTTAATCACATTCCCTCTTCACCTACAGGACTTTGAAAGATTGGCACAGAAGCATCTAAATTAACTTTATGCTAACAAAGAATTTCTCCAAGGGAGGCATCCCTTGTCTCACTACTGGGGGCAAATCCACAGTCCTCTTCTGCCTCTTCCCAGTCACAAAAGGGAACACTAGCATGGATCCATGCACAGATTTCACAAATAATATTACATAAATCTGATAGAATGGAAATTATTCCTACAGTGTATAATTATTCTTTCCATAGTCCTCTAGAACTGTTTCTTCTCATACATTTTATTCTCATTTTGTCACACATTCCTCATCATGGTTATTAGGCTTTAAGATACCCTTGACAAATATATAAACAGCAACACTCCTCACTGGTATCAAATTGTGGTTAGATTTTTTGAGTTAGTAGGTAATGTACCAGTAAAAGAATAATTAATTCCTGAAGGACTGAGCACAAAAGCAAGCACATGTTTGTCTGAGAAAGTAAAAAGTTTGACTAAAGAGGATGTTTATGAATTATCATGCTGTAATTCAACTGGATCAGTAGATATTTTTCACGTTGTTTACAAAATACCATGCAAATTAAGACAGAGATGGGTCACACATTTCCCAAATTAACTGACAATGGTTTGGAGATTTTATTTTATTTTTTTACCCTGTTAATTCAAGCTTTTTTTCAATCATCATGATGTAAGATTCCTTAGTTGTTGGTTTTTTTAATGGGTCCAAGAAAGACAGGGGAGGAAGAGACCTAAGGAGAGCATCTTGTCCATTTCCCTCTGCCACTGGAATCAAGCATTTTTAAAGAAAGGAAGGATGAAGGAAGTCACAGAACTTCAATAGCTACACTGTGTCACTGCCTCATGCACATTTAGAATGTTTCCCCACTAAATGCCTTTGCCACTAATCCAGTAGATTCATTTTCCCCATTGAACTTGGAAAATAACTCTTCATCAGAGTCATACTGACTTTTCTTTTTGAAAGCAAAACCAAACAAACTGATGCCTTCAGCTTCCTCACAGAGCATATCTTCCTGTCCTTGTTGTTCTTTCATCTGTCTGTATTTGTGGTCATCTTGCAGTGTGACATCCCTTTTTCAAATAGCACTCCAGTTGCCATCCATTGCTGGATGAAACACCAATTACTTCAGCCTTGTCCTAATCATTCATTAAGAGGAGCACTGCATTTCTTTTTGTCTTTCATGGAATGTATTTCTAAACCCTTTTGTTTTGTTAATTTTCTCACACCTTGCTAGCTGCAATTACTTTTGCTTATGATTCTTTCTGATTTTATGCCTGGTTTCCTGTTTCTTCCACACTGATTTTCTCTGTGACTTATGCTTATAGAAATCTTCTCTTGTTTTCACATTTTTGTGGTTTTTGATTTCTTTTATTAGAAATTTCTTAGGTTTCCTAGCTTAGTTAGACAAATTCATTAGTCTACTAGATGTGTCCTATTTTTCCTCTGCATCGAGTTAGGCTGTCATGTTCCTTTCAATGGAAACCTTTCAAGAAACAGTCTCCCCACACTCTTTTGTCTCTTAGATCATCTGCCTAAGATGATCAACCAGTTCCCTGAGGTTGAAGTGCTCTCATCTTCTCAGACATTTTGCTACATTCACTTCTTTTTCTGGGAAAAGTGAGTGCTCATGTTTTAGTGATTGATCACCTTCATCTAGATTTCCTTCCTTTACTTTCTCTTAAAGCAGTATCTCTTTGTTACTGCAGCATCAAATTGCATCCATTCTCATACGTGTTAGAGCTGAAGCTTAGAAGAGGGTTCTCCTTTTCCAGATCTTTCTCTTGATGCCAGGCACACAAACGGTGAAAATGAACACTCCAGAGTAAAGGAAAATGAGGTCCTAAACCACACTTAGGAGGTAACAGAACGCCTTCATAACATTGGTACACTAAACATGCAATCACATCAGTGACACTGTTTTGTTTTGACCACATAAGAAGAATAAAACAATTCATTAAGGACAGCAAACACCATCATGGCACACCAAGCACTTTGTCCTTCTAGTAGGTGAATCTTCAGAAAGCTGGAAAGCTTCTGCTGCTTGACTCATAACACTCTTTTATAAAGACATGATAATTGTCATTCTGTTCCTTTTTAGGAAATGTTCCTCTTGCAGCTACTCAGACTCGTGAGCGCTGGGCTGTTTTCCATGGCCTATCCTTTTTTTCTAGAGGGAAAGGGCTACTATAACACTCTTTTTCACTATAGCAACAATATTTTTTTTCACACTATCAGTAATATTAAAGCTTGAACATGTAATTTCAGGTTGGTTATCACTTTATTACAGGAAGGCCACAATATTAAAATACCAATGCCCTATGGAGGAAGAAGTTGGGTGATCTGATACTATCACAATCTTTACACCAAGGACTTGCATTTAGCTCAGTTTATTCTTGCAAGTTAGTCAGGTCACTGCAACTGATTCGTAACAATACTTCCAGAAAGAAAAGATTTCATAACTCTGTCCAAACTTTCCTGGGATAATTATACCTCATCATGTGAATACTTGCAGCGTGGTAAGTGGATATTATTTCCTCTCTCCTTGCACAATGAAAGCCTTCAACAGACCACATAGGAACCTTCTGCCATTTCACTCACCGTGAGAGATTACTAGCTACCCAGAAGATGATAATCTGCAAAACCTCACACACATCCTCGCTACTCAACAGTTATCTGATCAGTCACTGAATGCAACAGTAAAATTAAGCTCTATATTTTGCTCATAACAAAGCAAAGCATTACTAGAAGCATTTAAAAAAACTGTAACAGACAAAAACGTGACAGGATGGAGAAAAAATTCAGCTCATCTTTACTCTAGTTTAATAAGGTAAAGACACTTTAAATATAAAGTTAGAAATATCTTAAATTGTAAAAAACTAACAAGGATGATGTAATGCAATGTCTTTTTGTTATCAAACAAGATTGCATCAACTCTCATTCCAATGCCAAGACACCTATCTTGTTTTAAACATTAGCACCCAAAATAACCAGTCTTAAAAGGTCATGTTTATTTAAAAATAGCTTGCTTGCGTTTTACATTAAAGTTAATTTACTAACCTTAAAAAAATTAAATGCAAATGTATACAAATAATTTAAACATCCTGTCAAAGTTCACATACACACTGCTAAAGCAATGAAAATATTCAAGGTCATATGAAATCTTTCTTAACCATGTACCATCCTGTGCATTATTCTATTAAATATATAGATAGAACTAAAGCGTTTGAACCCTCTCTTTAGCATTATTCTATCCTTTTTAAAAGTCAAACCTATAATTTCCTATTGATAATGTGTTTTTCAGGCCATAACAAAGAAGCATACTGTACCTCTGGTGCTGATGGCTGTTGCCGATGTGGTTGTGCTGGTTGTTAAGGCTACAGTGGTTGTGACTGTTGCAGTGGTAAGGGAGGGGATGACAGTAGTGGGAAGCAAAGTGTTGAAAACATCTGGTGAGTGGAAAAAAAAAAATAAAAATAAAATCATATCATGCAAACAAAAGAGAACCATAACAGTGGTTTAATTTGTAAATACAAGTATGTTGAAAATGACTAAATTAAAACATGATTAACATAAATTATTACAGGTACAACAGAGTACCTTTAAATTCTTGACATTATATCACTCTCACTTTTTATAGTCAATCTTCTAGCACACGGAATTTAAAACACTGTTAAAATGACCAAGTTTTCACAGATCTGGAGAGTGACTGTTTAATTGACAAGAATCCATTTCTTCACTGAGCCATTTTAAATGTCTCATATAGTCTATAGAAAGCATACGGAGATGAAACATGCTGTGTCAGAGTGGGAGATGAAAAAAAACAACACCATCATGCTAAAATAAACACACACATGTTAACGAGAAATGGCTGTATGTTAAAACACCCACTTTCAGACAGACTCAATGGAAGGAAAAAGGGGAGAAAATGCTACTAACTCTAAGAGCTGCTTTTTCCGGATTGGTTTTCTTCTTCCCACACATTTGTTTAAGACACAGTTGTCTGCTAAGATCCAGAGCAGAGTATATTTCAAAATCTTTACCCTAATTAGCAGGCACAGTCATCTTTCAGTCATCCTTAACATTTAAAATTTATTGTTAATACACATATCAGTTTGTCCCTAAAAGAGCTTAGAACTAAAAATCAGAAACGCTAATGATATTACTATTTAAAAACCTGTGTATATAAGTCAGATAAAATGCATAGACCTGAGGACAGCATCCTACAAAACCCTTCAGCTTTCAATCAAGTAAGTGCAGGTATGCCAGGCGTAGGTATGCTGCTGCTTCGTTGCAGAGGAACCAACAATATCTGCTGCACAATGCTCCCATACAGAGCAGAACATGACCAGATGTACAGATAGAAAACACTTTGATTACCCTGCCAAAAGCAATAAAAACCAGTACTGCTTTGCTTATAAGGTGATCGTAGGTTTTAAAGAACAAACAAAAGCCTTGAAGAGAACTAGAGAAAAGCACTTCAGGACATAAAAAGCATCTGGCATTTTTCAGATTATTTATGCCACAGGTTTAAAAGGAAAGGACTAGTTTCTCAGTAGTTGATAGCGAGTAACCCATTCCACACCGATTTCAGTTAAAATATTTCTGAAGGGTGCTCTTCAGTGCAATAAAAGAGTAAAAACCTAATTTTTTGCACTGAAGCAATATTTATTGCTCTTCAGTGCAATAAAAGAGTAAAAACCTGACCCACGATCTGTCTTCCCTTGCTGTGGAAAGAAACGCAATTGGTCTCTGAGCCCCATCAATTCTGACTGAAACCAATGGCAGCTGAGGTAGCTCAGAGCTTTGCAGCATTGGGCCCTACAGAATACATTTCAGAGACAGGGTCCTTGAGTGCACCACTGCAGAATTACTCTCTCAAGACTTCAAATTAGCATGCTTACCTTATTTTCATACTGGATGACAGATTATTTTGCCACTTTCAAAGTCTCCTTGTCAGTTAACGTCTATGAGTCACCTACAATTTTCTGTATGCTTCTGGTTTTGATAAACACCAGCATTATTCTCTCTGGAATCTATACTTGTGGGATTTTCCACTTTTGAAAGCCATCAGAAAACAGCACGAGATCCTTCTTTCATCTGTTGTACACTGATATTTAACCTGTTTCTCAGTACAAAATATTCCCAAGCCAGGAAAATTAAAACAGGCTTTTAAAAAACCCCACAATGTAGCCACATCAATCACCAGGAAAAACGGTGACATGACCTGGAGTGTAAGTACCACATTAATTAAACAGAACTGAGTATAACAAGCATTATAAATAAACATGTTAAAAAGATACATCACATGCAATTGCTTTTCATAAAGGGAAACTCCTTCCCTGATAAGTATCTGCTAAAAATGAAATCAAACAGAAAAAACCCCACCGACTTCATAAGGAGAGCAAAGCCTTGTTTATTAGGAAAGCTTTACAAATCAGTCTTGTATGTAAAACCTAATTAGTGTGACTTAACGGTACCATTAATTATCTTTCTTAAAGATGTCATTTAATTAAGACTATGCAATGGCAAGTTAACTGCAACTGGTAAATACAGTTATGGTTTTATGACGGTGCTTTCCACTCTGCGAACACACTGTCTACCTACTTTACCACATAATAGCTCAAATGAGTCACTGGTGAATTTTGAATTTCATTGCTTTCTGGTTTCTCTTCTGACTGAAGTATTTCCGACAAGATTTCTTATTTTAAAAGAAAGGCAACCTAAGAAATAGACTAGTTAACAAGAACTAGGATATATCAGTGATTTTATACAGGTGTGACAGATGCATCTTCTCTAATCAGATCAAGAACAATGAAAACTTGAGCAGAAATTAGTATCCTGGCCAAAGTCACACACGCTAATGGCAAACCTAAAAATGGCAGCTTGTCAGAAGCCTCAAAGAAAAAGGTATGTTCTCAAAAGAAACGTAAATACAAGCAACAGCATTGGCTTTGATTCTTTCTTAGCAGAGTAAGGTGGAATTCACCATGCAAATTGGTCTGCTTTGCTCACAGCATTCCAATGACTTGCCCTCAAAGACCAGAGGACAAGACAGCAGGAGGAATGAGCAGCCTGGAGAGCGCTGCATTGCCCAAGCCATGAAATCTAGGTCTACTCTAGACTCTAGAAATGCTCAGCTCGTACTTGCTTGGGCTCAAGGCTCTGCCCTGTAGAATCGCTTCTTTAAAGACATCAGCGCGTACAGCAGGAACGTGTGTGTAAAGTAACAGAGCAGCTCACAGCTCTCTAGGCAATGCATTTTGGAACTCTTGGACCACACATATCCCATCCTTAAACCCTATCATGGACAGGCCAAATCCAGGCATAGATGTTAGAAAACATGTAATTCTTATTTTTAGTTTTAACAAGACATCTGTAGCTTAGCTTTAAGTACCAAGGGGCCCATTGTTTTTAGCCTGTGCGAGTCCAGTGACTTTATATAAACTCTGCAGGTCTTACTAAGGACTGTGCCCTTGAAAAGGGGCTAAAAGACTGATAAAAGGAGAACATCCTGCCCTAGAAGGCACCAAAAGCTGGAAAATTGTCTGAGAAGGATGAAGTCAGAAGAACCTGCAGAAAGGTAAATGTGGCCGGGGGAGATTGTGACCACTGACTCAATTAGAGACTGAACAGACTTAGCCCCTCCTGTATTAGCATGCGCTGTGAATTTGTCATGTACTGCACTCTTAAAAGGTAAACAAGAGAAGTTTAAGCTGATCCTAAAGTAGAACAGTAATGCACATCTATAGTGGGTGGAACAAACTCATCAATTATATCCAAATGCATTAAGTTTTGTGAACTTGGTGGGCTCAATTTGTGGTGATATACCCCTAGCACCCAGCGCTGAATAAAGAATGCCTGCTTCTTAAGACTATATTGGTGTTAAGAAATTCCTTCCCAATTTCAGTGCCATAGATTAGCAGCATTCTGAAAAGCACCCGAGCCCCACTTTTAAAAGACTTATGTGTGCAGGATCCCCCAGTCCTACTAAGCCTCTGTGACAGAAATGCTCCTTATTTACAGAGCACTGGAACAGGCTGCCCAGGGAGGGTGTGGAGTCTCCTTCTCTGGAGACATTCAAGACCCACCTGGACGCCTTCCTGTGTGATCTCATTTAGGTTCCTGCTCCGGCAGGGGGATTGGACTGGATGATCTTTTGAGGTCCCTTCCAATCCCTGACATTCTGTGATTCTGTGTGATTTCTTCCAAGAAAACTTACAGGTTCTCATGAAAACTTTACTTATTTTTGCTCTGAAAATGCTTTTGCATAAGAAAATGTGGAATATGCACTTCAAAAGAAAAAAGAGAGAAGTAGCGTGCAGTGCCTCTCATTCACTCATTGTGTAGTGTAGGTGTAGGAGGTAAGCCGGTTTGGTAGCTCCCAAAATCAGACGGACTACAAGTATAAACCCAAACTCCACAGCACAGGCTACTGCTTAAGGCCTATGAATCACTGTTTTAAAGAGTGTGTGCTGTTTCATTTGTATGTCAGAAAAGGGAATTATGATTTCACCTGCTTCTAGTTCATTGTTTTTACTGCCAGGCACGTGTATGTTCTGCTACTGGTGAGGCACACGTTCAGTTATCCAGAGGTCCCTGTTGGCAGCTGCTCAGAAACCTGCTCAAAGGGACTACGTAGATTTGTTCTCTTGAGCTCTCTGTCAAAAAGGATCTTAACAGAACGGATTTGCAGATTTCTGTCCAAGAAGCCTGTGTTGGAGTGAAAATTAATTCCATTTTCCGGCTTTGCTATTTCTGAATCTAGTTGTACACAACGTTCTGCTGAAAACAAATTTTTGTTTATGACTCTCACACCACTAAATACCAAAGATCATTATGACCAAGAGACCTTGTAAAGTGGAATTTTTTAATTTAAGTAGCCTTACCCAAATCAATGCATCAGATTGCTATTTCAGTAATACTCAGGTATTAATCCTTAGCCTCCTGTGAAGCAGAAAATAGCTATATTTTGCAGATGGGGAACCAACAAGATAGAAAAGCAATGTTCGGAGATCTAGAAGTCAATTAATAATTGTTATCATTAATTTTGAAACTCACTCCTAAAATTAATGTTCATTGACAGACAGATGTTCAGTCAAAAATCAAAAAATGTCTTTAAGTTGGTATTTCATTTCATCACCTTGCTGCCTCTGAAATACAAACAATGCACAGAGAACTAATCTTTTCCATAAAAGTTGTTGAAAATAGAAAAGGTGTTAGACTTCATGCCAAGGGGAGTCACTGACTCCAGTCCCAACTCTTTTTCATGTATGTTCCCACAGGTTACACAGGTAAGACCTGAACTGGATTTTCAAAGGGAGTATCCTAACGTCTTTCTAGTGGCACAGGGGGGCTCGAGCTGAGCCACAAATGCTCAGCCAAGAACTTTCTTTTCAGTCAGGATCTGACATAATGTGACAGTTCAGTGGATGCAGAGAAGAGTACG